TGCCCAGCGAAGCGGTTTGTCGGTCCGAGCCCCGCAGCTGACGTCCCAATGCACTGCTCGCTCACGGTAACTTTAACTCTATCATTACGAGCGTTCGGGGCTCCGCTGCGCGTTCCGAGCCCGTTGGATAGCATCATATTCTATTCACATGTCCCTGCGTGCTTCGCGTTCAAAACCGGAGGGGACCACCACAGTCAACAGATTTTGACTGGAATCTTTCCCCGTTGTTCTTCTCCTTCGAGCCCACTCGTAAATCACGTCAAGACCTGCGCTGTATGCGGCACACCTGCCCCAAGCCGCCCTTGATCTCTTGACGCGCAGAACGCACGTTACTCGAAGAGGATGCGGCGCTGGTCAGCGCTGGTCTTGTGTCTTCCTTCCTTACTTCATTATTCTTGATGCTTGTTCCGAAGCCGATTCGAACGCCCGCTGGATGAGGCGATGCTTGTGCTCAATAGGAAATACTTGTGCGTCCCCGATGAGGCAATCCTTGTGCCCGATTGGGCGTACGCGTACATACTACCGCGCGTGTTCCGACTTCGCGTCAAGATTCAGGCCAGGCGACATGGCCGCACGGATGGTCGGAACGAATTCGAGTTCGATCCTTGCGACTCGGACTTGTACAACGCGTCGCATGTGCAGCCCGAGGTGTCGTGGTGGTGACGCGACGCCCGAGCGGTTCTCTTCGGTGACGCCGAGGCGTGTCGAGTCCAGTCGATTCACCCCCTTGTACTTTTGCGGGCGCGTGCCTACGTTCACAGATAAGCTAACCTTATCCTCGCAGGCAAGGCGTGGACCGCCACAGGCTTCTCCGACTCCTTCAGGAACATTCCTGCATTCGTTTAGTCGCGTTTCGTCAACTCAAACACGCGCTATGGTCCTGCGCATTCGCGCCGGTCCGAGCCCCGTAGGGCCGCCGTACTCACGCTCGCGCTCACGATGAGGTTAACTTTACATCAAGGCTTGCTTCGCGTTCGGGCATACGGTGCGCGTTCCGCCCGCCCTCTGGTGTCACCTTGCGCGCGCATACCTGCACCGCGCGAGGACATATGCGCTTCGGGCTTCGGGGACGTGAAACAAGCTCCACACCGTCAAGGTCTTTAGCTCCTCGTGTCGACTTGGGGACGTTACATCTACCTTGTCTACGTTTGACCGCCCCTGGTGGCGGGCAGAAATCAATCGCTCTCCATCCCCTCGCTTGCCAAGATTTGCGCTCGAAGACACACAGCCCCATCGTTGGTTCAAAACCCTACTCTTTTTGGATGCCTTGCTCGGTCCGAAACCCGTTCACGATGGCTTTTTTTTTTTTTTTTTTTGGGAGCGTTTAGGAACGGTAGTCAGCCTTAAACTAGGTCCGGGCGGTACGAGGCTGCAGAAGCGACATCTGCGACGGAATTGTCCTCGGAGGCGCGCGAACGACGCAGTTAATTAATCCTCTGCTCAAGCTCACGCCTCAAGATTTCGGCCCTAGTGCGACGCAAGGGGAGGCGCGCGAGACAATTTAATTACACCTCTTCTCCTTCAAGCTTCAAGATCCTGTAGCGCATCAAACTTGAACCGTAGAATTTGCCATTCTCCTCACCGTTCGGAAATTCGTGGATACCTCTTCCTTACTTGGATAAAATTTGCGTCGCTCATTCAGCGGCCGCCACTGGCGAATATTCATCGCCGATCCGTCGAACATATCAACAGAGGCGCCCGTGTTCCGATTCCTCCCCTCCTCCACACTTGGATTCAGCGTCGGACCGAGCACCGTTGTGTTAATATACTCGAGTCGACGGCTTGATTCGCGCGCGCCACTGACAGTTGAGCTTCCACCTCTCGATCCCAAATAATTCAATTCGCCGAAACACGCCAACAGAAGGCAACACGTATATACGTGCAGATATGTACACCCGTGGGACCATTTCTTCTCGCATCGCTCATTCGCCAACCTTAACTTACGCGTAGAAATTTGTGGTTCCCTCAACACTCCCGGTCTTCGGCGCGAGCTCCGACTCCATTCTCCTCGCCCATCGGAATCCTCGAAAGGTAATACATCAATGGGGGTAAATTGTGGGCGCAACATGTGTACGAGTGTCACAATATTGCGAGGGACGCGGCCGGAGGAGACGGCGTTTTTTTTCCCGTCAAGTCGGTCAATAATTCGGTGTCTCTAAGTCGCGTCACATTTTTTCAGGTAAAAACGGAGGAATTCTGGGTCCGTTATCACAATATTCGTGCCGTTCAACAACGAATTTTCATCCATCTGGTTAAGATTGCATCGAACTGCGACTCAACTTGAATAAGATTGCATGAAGTCGATCATCAATTCAGTTGAGTGGGGAAATTCTTTTATGCCAGTGGGGCGGGAAGACAAACATTGTGTAAGGTCCGATGTCGTCCTCTCGGAAAATCAAGCAGCTAAAAACTTATCGCGCGTCCAGCACTCGCTTGAGGCGCCACATTCGTTGCGAATGCCAAACACTCAGTCAACTCACAGTTGAAATTTTTTCATTAAAAGATTCTTTATTGGTTTGAAGAAAGAGCGAACTTTGAGCCAGGTACGATATTATTGTACAGCTAGAATGCCCGAGATTGTACTAACGCACATGGGAAAAGATGATCAATTGGCTGGATAAGAAAAACCAAGAGACAGACAGGTATTGTCGCGGAACCGGTAGACAGGTGATGCATATGGATATGCCAGCAACTGAAGAAGGGCGTTGAAGTTCAGACACCAAGTTTGGCGGCTGGGCAACCCAAACGAGATAAGAGGTTCCAAGTTGGATCCGGACCTAGACAGCACCGCCTGAGACTTTGCAGATACGAGATCCTGCATACCCGCAGTGGATTGTAAGACGTATCGTATGTTCTATGTTCCGACCTTCCGTCCCACTGGCACAAGGATTGTATCCAAATTTGGTGGCGTCGGCCGGGGCTGTGTCGTTAGCGGCCGCGTCGGTCGGGTCGGTCTTTTGTTGCCGTTCAGGCGGGGTCAAACGAAGAAACTTGATGTAACATGTTGTGTTTGGCGGCGAAGTCACCGTGACTGCGGAGTCACCTGGACCAGTTTCATGATGCGCCTAGTCTGAATGCAGAATAATGGCCAACGAACATTTAAGTTTTAATCCATTATCAAATGATGGCGGGCCCTCGACGCTGATCCTGATCTCGAGGCGTCGGTCGTTGTCGTTGACTGCGGCTATGCCATGTTGAGAAGTAAGCACATCATAGAAGTGGGATCATCAAGGTCGTCGGTGTCGACGTCCTATAACAGGCGTCGTTCGGGAGCGGGAAGGAAGGGGGTTGGGTTTAGAATTCTTGGGCTTGGGAATGGATGCGTTGGTGGCGTCATAAGGCAACGATATTAAGGATTCCATGTCCGACGACAAGGCCAACCGACGAGGTCATGTTGTATAGGCACGCGCTCGGCATTTGTTGTACTCTTTGTGATCTCTTTGTAGGGGGGTCAGGAAAGAATTGACACGAATCTACGTTGGGGCAAATCAAGGGCAAATAGCCAAGAACCTGCAGTGAATCGTTGCTGGCCGTCGCGGGAAACGTGTAAGTCGAGAGTATTTTTTATTTTTATTTCTTGCGCAGCTCCAGAATTAGCTAGTCGCCGAACCTCCGCCGCCGCCGAGCACAGCAAATTCAGTTGTTAAAGCCTTACCACGGGCACGGGACCACGCGATTGCTGTCATTGAATAGCGGGAACGAGTTGAGTGCCCGGAAGTATGCGACTGGCAGCAGTTTAAGAGGTACCCACGATGGTGTATCCTTCTTTCCTGAGAGAGCCTTCGAACGAAGTATGTAGGAAGCGACCCAAGACAGTAAGAAGCACCGAGAACACGAAGCCAGGTGTCGTGTTATGGGACAGATATCACTAAGACCCGCGGGGTAAGATGTGGGCTGACAGAAAATATCAGCGCGAGGAGACGGTGTGTAATGTCATGCCAAAAGGCAAATGTTGGGTGAACGTCATTCTTGCAGAGTATCCGAACAACCGACGATGTGAATTCTCGTGTGCTGAGGTCATTTTCATAACTGGGAGCAGGAATTATGGGTTAAGATATAAAAGAGGTTTGGGACCATAGCTGTGTCTCCGAGAAGGAGACCGGGGAGGTGGCACGGAAAAGGCCTGGGATATCAATGCAGAAGAAATGTCTACTTGGATATTAATCTCAGCTGTGCACCGTATGCATGTGAGATCGTGACATGACCGGGACACAAGATCCCCAAGAAATATCTTGCAATTCGTTGGGGAGACGATAATAGAGGTTGATTGATGTGGCAGAAGCCCAGTGTCGAGATTTCACGGCCACAATTAGGGATTCGGTTACAGTGTGAATACTTTGCCAGCCACGTCGGGTATGGAAAGGCTTCAAGGAAGGGCAGTATTTTAGTGTGTGACAAGATGGCTGTGAACGAGAAGATACATTTCAAACTCCGCCGATCGCGATCAGAAACACGTTCAACATGTTCAACTTGCGTTCAACACGCGTTGTTAGATTTCGTGAGGTTTCGGCACTTGTGTTTAATGGTATTGCAGCCCCTTTGGGGCAATATTGTACCTGGGATGGTCTCAAAAAACGATTGGACTGATTTCGGCCCAAACAAGTACATGGTGAACAAAAAGGAAAGTTGATCAATTGACAGATCACAAATGATGGACCTCAAAAACCATGACCTGTTCTTGCCTCAGGGGAAGTACAGACCCAAAACCTTTGAGGAGGTGTGAATCATGTATTCATCCAAATCCAAGAGGGATTGAGAAAAAATTAGGTGAGCCAAGTAAAAAAAAAGAATTATTCAATGAACCCTCATTATCGAACTCTTAGAGTGTGTACATGTACATACAGCATCGGACCCGGACTTGAGTGCAACTTTATGTTGAATGAATGCACAGAATGTCCAGCTCTGGGCCTAAAATCTCAAGGGAAATATTACAATAGTATCCTGCGGATCTTGCATCGCAAATGGGAAAGAAAGATGGAGTTTGAAAAAGGTAAAAACAAGGGCCCAACCGGGAATTGAACCCGGGGCCACCACCAGTTACGTAATCGCAAGGGATTAAACCCGAAGGAGGTATCATACGACTAGACCATTGGGCCGATAAGAGATAATGAGCCGCAGACATACACATTGGCCATGGAAACTTTTTTGCAAGCTTCAAAGTTGCAACCCTTAGATCTACTTGAGGCGTGTTGAAATACAGGTGTCATAATGACAGCAGAAGCCCCTGAACATGTGTGCCAGCAGCAGAAACTGGCAATAACAAACATGTCAATATCTCCACCATTTCACATTGTCCTGCTATAAATTTGGTACCTATGTGCTTGTCTCAACTCATCTATTGCACTGGAACAACTTGTTCCCTGCTCTTTTGGCAAGCTTTCATAGCTGGTTCTCCCTCTTACTCAATGACAGGCTCTGTGTCTGCTAAACACAACTCGATCATCTAGCCTGTGCCTGTGAGTCAATAGCTCACACTAGGTGATGACATGTCAAGTGGAATATGGCAGGAGATGGGAGTGAACAATTGTAGTAATGACCCAAGATCTTTGGTCCACCTTAGGCTCATGGCCAACTAAAGGTACTGTAAGGGCAACCTCAAGCTCAGTGCAGGACACAGAAACTAGCAGGGGACAGTGAGCAGAAATACTACGCACCTAGCGGGGGAATCCAAAGAGAAGAAAGGATGAGGATTCTCATGCTAGGTGAAACCTTATATACAGTCAGTAACTACCCAGTAGCACATGTCCATAGGTATCTACAATGATCCCGGGCCTGATCACATAGCATGTGCCAGTATAAGTGAACAGAAGTTCTAGACACTTCTGAGGACAGAACAGATGGACAGATGGATGGAGTCCCAGATGGATGGATAGACAAATGGTCGGGCACAGAAGCAGCTGGAGCAGCAGACAGAAAAGGGGCTGAGAGTGGTGGCTGCAAGAGCGAAAGTGGCTGGAGCGGGGGTTTCCCTGACATCACCCCCCCCCTTGGAATACAGCATCCTGGCCCTGGCGTATGAAGCGGATCATCCTGTTGCACCTCTGGAAAGAGAGCGAGTCAAAGGCAGCCGAGGCAATCCGGTGTGGAGCGTTGGGGTAGCGGCGGTAGGAGGTGTCAATGGTGTACTTGGTGAAGATGTCAGAGTGTTTTACCCACTTGTTGTGTTCCAGTCCGTAACCCTTCCATTGTACCATGTACCAGAGGCTGCTGTAGCAGACCCGTGCTTTGAGGATCTTGGCGACCTCCCACCTCTTGTCTCTGTCTGTCCAAAGGACAGGTGGTGGCTCGTTGTTCCGAGGGCGACCAGGGAATGGGTTCAGTTTCACAAGCTCAGGCTTCACCACCGGGAAGACTGGGTGCAGTTGGGAGTAGTGCGGCAGGAGCTTGAGCTTGTACACACCCTTGTCTACAACCTTCACAACCTTAAAGGGCCTGAGGCACTTGTCTGAGAACTTGGGTGATAGACACATCATTTTGATGTTGGACACATCCACCCAGACTCGGGTTGCCTACCTTGATCTCTGGCACAGGCACGTGGCGGCAATCATAGTAAAGCTTGAACTTGTCTTTGGCTTTAACAAGCACAGCTTTGGCCTTGGAAACCTTGGTGGCGATCCAGTCACAGAACTTGTTGATAGACTTGTCGGCGGAGTACATGCTGTTTGGCTTGAAACCCATCTGAGGGAGGTGACCGGTGTCCGTCATGAACGGAACCTGCTGCATTGAGGAGTGCAAATGGTTGTTGTACACAAACTCGACCACCAGCAAGAGCTCATCCCAGTTGTCCTGTTTGTAGCCCGTGAAGATATGGACAAACTGTTTGAGCTTCTGGTTGACGTGCTCGGTCTGGCCATTGGTCTGCGGGTGGTAAGCAGTTGAACTAGCGGGCTTGATACCGATGAGGCACCACAGCTCTCAGGTGCACTCTGTGATGAACTGCAGGCCACTGAAAGGGTGCACTTGATATACAACTAGAAATAGCTTTGATTTGGAACTGCACAAACAACTACCAAACCACTCCACTACAACAATCTATTCCTTCAAAGATGTAAGTGCTTCTCTTTGTGAGTTTGGGTCTGGGCTGGGCTGTAGTATGCGACCAACAGGTTTGGAACCAACACAATCTGACTGCTAGACTTCAACAAAGTCCTTTAACAACACATTAGCACTATGCAGCTACCAACAACAATACCGCTAGCACCTGGGATGTGGGGTTTATGGGTTGGATACAAGGTGGCTGGATCACTAGATTGAGGACACCAGGGCAGAGTATGTAGGTTTGTGAAAATCCTTGCTAAGGGATACCCAAAGACTATTGAGGATAACAACAAGGGACTTCAATCCTCAAGCAGCAAGGCAATGTCAGCAATGGCCTCTGGGTCGGCTAAACAGTGAGTAACCCGGCAAGGACCCCAACCAGGAGAAACCTGATAGACAGTAGTAGCTCGTGTGTTCCTCGAGCAGTAGGACCAACCGTACAGTGTCCTCCATAGGAGACTGTATATTGTAGATCAGGATGTGAGGCAGAACCTAGAACAAGTTGAAGAGGGTGTGATATCCATTCAGGTATAAAACCCAGGGTGTGGACACAACTCGTAATACAATGGATAGGAAGTGGGGCAGGGTGGAGACAATGCCTATGTCAAGCCAAGGTAGAAGCCTGAGATTAGACGAGGTAGAATCTACTGTACATGGAGATTCTACCGAGCTTATATAGGTTTCAAATAAATTAAAGGCAATCACAGTCTGTTGTGATCAGTTCCTGTACCTCAGCATTAAGGAGTGTTAATGCTGATACTCCTGTCCTCCTCTGTGTCTGTCTCCATAGCGTCTGAGGCAAGAGGTGAGTGATAGGAAAGTTCCTGACACAGACCTGCCAAAGTCGGGAACATGTGAAATGGGGGGGGTACATCATTGTTTTCACTGAGGGAAAGTGAGTTTCGGAGAGCATCGGACCGAGTCCAAAACTTTGCAATGTCATTGTGTTTTCATGCCGAAGCGTGCTGATTGAAATCGCAAAATGAATGTAAGATGCAGCGTGTTTGTCACTATAAGAAATAAAATATTCTGACATAGAAAGATGTATTGTATGCAAGAATGGGGGGTCTTACAAATTTTCAGCCTTATTGGGGCAAGTTTGAAGTCATAGTGAGAAGTTCAGGATTGAGACCATTGAAAGTCGGTTGGAGATGTCAGACTTCCCGATTGGGGGGGTTGTCAAAGAGGTCTGTGTCTGATCGTGAATGATTGCTCGCCTCTTGGTCTGAGGACTAGGGGACCCGACATTCGGGTTTCCTAGTCCTTAACATCATTGTATCCAGTGGTTCAAACCGATCAGGTCAGTGGTTGAAACCCCGGTAGTTTGCAACCATTCATGCACTTTGTGTACACCTCTGTGTCAGCTGTGATGCGTTGGGGGACTAGAATCCATCTGCACAGGTTCCCTAGTCCCTAATGTCTTCTGTATCCTGTAGTGCAGACCCCGGTGGGTCTGCAACTTTAGAATCCATGGTGGCGTCATGAGAGTCCTGTGCTGCTAAGATGTGTCTGTATCTGTACAGACACGTCATGTGAAAAAGTAGAACCCAGGTGATTCATGACAGGCAGTCCTTAAGCTGTTGACCTATTCCTTAACCAAGAACAGGAACATTTCCACTTCTTATTGGCAGTAGACACTATAAGCATCTAGCTAGCGACCCAACACACTACAACAGTGCTTCTGTCAATATCAGGGTGAAGGCAAAGTAACTGACAAGTTAGAGTCAGTCTAACAGTGGGGGCACCTAGTCTGTCTTCTTCTTAGTAGGCTTGAGACAACACACAACTACCTAGCAGGTGATCCAACACACTACAACAGCGCTTCCATCAATATTGGGGTGAAGCAACAGTCCAGGTAGGCACATTACAATGTGCACTGGCACAGCCAGCAGTGCATGTTACAATGTGACTATCAAACTTTTGCCCCTGGTACACATTACAATGCGCACCTTGCCAGCCACTACACCTAACGGCAGCTCGGCATCAAAGGCAATCACGGAGACTGCCGTGAATGCTCTGTAGGCAACTATCCTTCCTTTTGGGGATCCATTCTTTTTTTTTGCTGACTCTGACCTGTTTGGGATCCATGTCGGCATCAATGGAATCATCTAAATGCCTGAAAAAAACAATTATTTCATGAATTAAATACAGCTACTCAAAATCTTCCTCATCAAAAGTATCATAACCATCCTTTACCCCCTGCTCATCACCCTCCAGCTCCACCTCCAACGGCAGTAGTTCCATCACATCCACAATGTGATTGCACATCACAATCTTCGCCCGCTCATGTATCGCTACCCATGTGTCATGCCAAGCCCTCTCCCATGCCCTTTCTTGGCCTGCCTGTGCAAGGGGATATGCCTGCAGCCCCTCTATGAGGGCCAGTGCCACATCCCAATCACAATTCACCCGCTGATCCCATCCTGATGCCTTCCACTCACAAAATTTCAAAACCTGTCTCATTTCTTCCTTGAGCAGGATAAGTTCTTTCCGCCAATGATCCACCCTTGTGCGCGCTTTCGTCCACTCAATATGGATATCTGACCCATCATTAACACAGCAAACAAAGGTAAGGGAATAGTTACACGTACCCTCGTGAAGTGAGCCGTCCGATCCAACATCAGCATCCTTGATGCTTTCTGTGTACCAAATCCATGACAGCATGTGGCACCCTTCGCCTATTTCCAGATTGAAAAGGACTGTCAGCTCCACTGGATCACTGTATGCATTGACATCTTTCCCATCTGTGTCCTCCACCAACCCTGCCAATACCCCCGCCTTTCTATTTTCTTCCTTCTCTTCGTTATTCAATGCTCGCTTGTTCATGCCACTGATGTCCTGTTGCCTCAACACCTGGAGCTTGTTTTCCCAAGACCCAGGACCCCACAAAGAGAAGAGCACTGATTGAGCCATGTGATAGCATGCAGCAGCTGAATGAATTCAATCTTCAATACCATCAAGCAGCTCGCAGCTCTTGGTCCATGCACCTTGTCCACTCAGATTCTTGTGCTTGAATCAGTGTGCAAAGGTGCGTGTCCAAAGTCCAGCATGAAGCTCA